CCAAGATTCAGGCTATGCGCCTTCACCAGTAAGGTCAACTACGGTTGAACCAAGATTCAGGCTATGCGCCTTCACCAGTAAGTTCAACTACGGTTGAAACAAGATTCGGGCTACGCGCCAGTAAGTTCAACTACGGTTGAACCAAGATTCAGGCTATGCGCCTTCACCAGTAAGTTCAGCTACGGTCGAACCAGGACTCAGGCTACGGGCCTTCGCCATCAAACCTAACGAGTTCGACCTCGCTTGAACCATAAGGCTAGACGCCTTCGTCCTCAAATCTAACGAGTTCAACCACAGTCGAACCAGGGCTCGGACCAAGCGCCTTCATCACTGAACTCAGCGAAACCCGACCTCCGACGAAGCGAGGCGCGGGTTAGGCGCCCACGCCCTTCAAGTAAGTACTCCCAACTCAAATTAAGATTGGGGACACGTAATGTCCGGCCCCGGCCAAACTACAAGGCCGCGCTTCTGTCATCACGGCCGACAGTTCGACTGCGCCCGAACTGGGACTAAGGCTAAGTGTCGCTATCGCCAAGCAACGGTCCGACTCGCTCATCCCGAGTCGAAGAAGAAGAGTCATTAACAATTAAAAACTAACATGCCTGCCAGAGTCGAACTTGAAGGCAAATCACCCCTTCGAGCGCATGCAAAGAAAAATATATGGGGGAAAAAGAGGAGATACAAAACAGATACATGGCAAATAACGGAACGGAGATCTCATTTATCCACGAAATTAATTGCGGGTCATCCCCGCTTACACCCGGCCAAGGCCGATCAATACAAGGAATAAAAAAAATAAGAAACACCTAAACGCCAAACGGCGAAAAGACAAGAAAAAATGCATATCTTTTTACTCGGTGCCGTCTGCGCCACCATCTGCACCAGCGTCAGCCTCTGGCGTCGCCGCGTCAAAACCACAATCGGCACGGGCCTCACGAGCCTTTTGACGCGCCCCCTCGAAAGCAGCTTCGGTCACGACGCCAGCCTCCCACAAACTCTTATATACATCACGTTGGGCCTCGACAAAGACCCAAAGTTCTCGAGCCTGGCTGGAAGAAGCGGCTTGATCCCGTAGCCGCTGATTCTCTTCTTCTAAGGTTGTGATCCGGTCCGCCATGACTTGGGCGTCCTGCTCAAAGACACCAATCCGCTCCTCGAGACTCGCTTCTCTAAAGGCTGCAGCATCCCTTTCCAATGCCCGTTGGGATTCGTGCACGCGGATAGCTTCCTTCAACGCCCCAGCCCTCGACGAGGCATCCCTCACTTGAAGCTTCAATACCGCGACTTCACCCTCCAACGCGGTCACTTTCCCGCTCCATGCCGCAGCGGCCTCCGCCGCCTTAGCCTGGCCCTGGCGCTCACACTCAGCTGCGGCCCTCTTTACCGCCTCGAGCTCCTCATCCTTCCTGCGGAGCTGCTTCTCAAGAGCACTCATTCTGCCAAGTGTTTGTTGCATCTGAAGCTCCCGCCTCGCTAGCTCTTCGACCAAGGCCCGGCTACGGGGATCATTCCTCAAGCGCACGCGTAACTCTCGGCACTGATCTCGGTAGCGGCGATACTTCTCCAGCGCCCGCAAAAATATCCCCGAGCGGACCTTGGCTCAACGGATGCTCTCCACCTCCAACAGATAAGACTGCAAAGCAAAAACAACGATTAGAATAAAAGAATAAACTTAAGGCAAAGAAGAAGCGAACCGACGTAATAGTACATACCCTCAAGCCCATCACAGCTACTTCATTCATCAGTCCGACATCCGTAACGCCCCTCAACGACGCATTCTCGGCCTCCGAGCATAGCAGCTCGAACTGCGACACCAAGCTTTCCCCTTGGAGCAATAAGTTCAATTCCGTGGGAACCTCGATGAAGCGATATCGCCCCCCTGCGCGCAGCGCTGAATTGGTGGAGCCTTCCTGGAACATACGGACGTCGTCGGGATCCAAGTCGGATTCAGACTCATCCTCACCCTCTGCAGCATCTCTTCCCCCTTCAGCCCCCGGCGAGGTGGACCCTCCTGCCGCAGCCGCCAAAGGGGCGCTTAACTCACCAACATTACCAACCGCTGAGGAATACCTCCCGTCTCAGCGACTGGAACCACCGACTGAGTCGCCAAAGCTACGGCACCCTCACGGCCTAAGCCAGCCAGCGCAACCCCCATTGACTGTTCGCCCTCAAGAGCGGGCGCCGCATCCGCACCCCTCTCCGCATCCGTCGGAGGGGAGTCCAGATTGATCACCACAGGAGGAGCCGGCATGAACCCAACCCTGCGCCTTATCAAGGCCCTCTCCTCCTCCCCGTCTGATGACGATTCCGCCCTAGGGCGCACAACCCCCGATGGCCCCTCATCCCGAAGCGCGGCCCGTACTGGAGAAGGAACCGCTGAAGACTCAACTGATGTCGCCCTCGGTATTGAGCGCGATACAGGCGTCGCAGTAAGACGAGCGACTGCACCCGGTCGACGAAAGGCCAACTGAGGGGCCCTGACGCGGCGTGCCCTCCCTGATCACAGAAAAACAAAATTGAGGAATAGTGTCGAAACAAAGCGGAACAGAAGAAGAAGTCAATTTTTCTTACCTGCCACAGGACTACGGCCATATCTCTCCCAGAAAGACGCCCATGTGCGTATCCCCACCGTATGGGGGAGCACGGCCTCCACCCATCCGCGAATCCCAGCTAACGGAGCCGGCGGTGATTTTTCGGCTACAAAATTGACACGAGTTAACGCTTACGAGCACAAGACGTAAGGAGGGGTAAAAAAAAGAGGATTTAATGGCTAAGGAACTTACGTGCATGATTCCAAACCTCTGGGAATCTAGTAGAGCACGCCACTAAATGTTCAGTCCTGATGTAGAAGAAGTGCTCGAAAGGGCGAGGTTCAACCTCATCATCCTGCTTCGCCGTCAGGCCCCTCGTCCCGCGAGGGCACGCTCGAATCATGGTACCCCGAACCCTCTGGGGAGCGTAGAGGCTAAGCACATGCTGCAGCGTAATCTCCCTACCAGCCAATTCTGCGTATTTGATGAGCATTGCTAACAACTTGTAAAGAGAAGGAGTAAGCTGACCCGGGCATACCCCGTAATAACGACAGAAATCAACCACCAACATTGGGAGCGGGAGCTTAAACCCCAACTTGAAGGGGTAGGCGTAAAAGACGCAATATCCCCTACGGTCGGTGTGGACCCTCTCCTCGCTTCTAGCGAGAATGACGTCAGCATAGCCGGGGATGACCCCCTGTCCCCGCAGTCGAGACATCCCAATCTCCCCCATTAATGGGGCTTCATCCACCTGATCCTCCCCACCATCGGCGGTGAAATCAGTCATCGGAACTCCGGGCAGAGATACTATCTCGTCAACCGACGGAGCTTCGCCGGTCTCCACCAGTTCTGCACCGCCCATCGCCGGAATTGGCCCCTCGGTCACCGGTGAATTAACCGGAAGGTCCGTCGGAAGAACGTTTTGAGAAGAAATTCCTGCCATTGTTGATACAATAACGAGAAAGAAACGAAGTTCGGGGGACGAACACGAAGGTGAAACAGCAGTAAGAAAATCTTCTTCAGAATCTCTCTTAGACAAGCAATAAGAATATGAAAAATGAATGCCTCAGCCTTTATTTATAGGCAATACAAGTGGCCCTCATGCATCCCAACAGCCACCATTAACTACACGACCAACTGCACGCCGGTTCAATTCCATAGGAAGGTGCGTCATTATGACAGGCTCCATAAAGCAGCCTTGCAATCACCGGTCGGCGTCTCGCCCTCGAAATGGTCATAACGACCTATGAATGCCGAGGAGGTGCTCATTGCGCCCTAGAAATTTTTTGACAACGCGGAGCACGTATCAAGCGTGGCCCCATTCCCCTCGGCCGCACAACATACGACCCGTCCGCCATGGTCGACGGGTATGCATCCAAAACAAACGTAAGGATCAGAGCACAATGCAGCTCGACCTCACTCGAAGTTAGTTAAAAGGTCAAGCGCCTTCGCCCAGGAGGAGAGTTCGACCTCGATCGAACGATGACTTGATAGCCCAATAACAGGATACTAATACTCTACCAGGCTAAGGGCCATCGCCAAAATGAATTCGGCCTCGACCGAAGCAACAGTCGACATCCCTATCCGTGTTTCTCAAAATACAGCTGATGGAATCCACTCATCGAGCTCGGCCAAGGCCCGACCTCAATAAGCGGAGGGACTAACTGTATGGGTCAGAATCCGACCCCACGATAATTAACGAGGCTAATCCCGTCTTAAGCTAATTCATGATTAATTAGTGGCACGACCACTCAGAATTGACGATGTTCAACCCGCATCTGGCTTGATCAGCAAGGCCATGGCCTATCCGCCACCATAAAGGCGAGATCCCAACGTGGTCACGGCCACTTATTGCCAGCTCACGAAGCCCACAGCTATAAATACCAAGAGAGGGAACCCTACAAAGGGGGGGCTTCTTCTTCACCACGAGAGAGAGAGAGGAAAAAGGGACAGCGATACCAAAATTGTGGTCAAAAGACACAACATTGTAATGCTCTGAACCTTTTCATGGAGAGGCAGACCAAACCAATATTATCAATAAAGGCTTCTAATGTTTCTCCCTCTAACTCTGAGTACTCATTTTCGTCTTCTTCGTTTGTTCCAACGGATTATTACGATTTGCTATGATTTTCCCGTGATTTATTTATATTGTTTTATACTCATAAAGGTATGTAATAATTTTTGAGCAAACAATTTGTTCATGAGTTATTACATCTGAAAAGTTCACCTTGATGTATATCATCACTAAGCATAGTCAGTCGTACCATTTAAAATATCCCAAACAAGCACCATAATTGGCTGAACAGCTTGGCCTCAACTATACACAATGCTTAGGATAAAAGAAGATGCGTTTCTTCTTAACGTGCAGTACCTGCAAACTAAGTTGGAGAATTGTTGACTCATGACTGTGAGATCCATGACATAATTTTAATTTTTTAATTAATGTGAATGTAGAAAGAGGAATTGACAGGGTAAAAACTCTAGAGAAAATTTTATCATCATTGGAGCTAAATATACAACTAGGTGAGCCAAGACATTGCGTCACTTCAGTACTGAAAAGACTTTTGTCCTGAATCCAAGACTTATGACCTTCCACTTGCCTAGCTATAGTTTCACAAATGAAGCTACAATATGATGAAAGAACAGCTAGAGCCCTAAGCAATAGCAAAATAATTTCAGCAGGATAGGTGTACAACTGCTTTCAATAACCTGTAGTATATGCCAACCAAATTATTCCAAACACAAATTTAAAGTAAATATGTCTAAGTACAAATCATGCTTACAGGGAAAGATATAAACTTCTCTGGAATAATTTGGATAAGCCAGCAGCAGCGTCAAAGGTAAAAAGATCAATTGAACTTGGTCTCTTTCCTGTGGTAGAATCATCAATCCGTATAAATCCCCTGCCAGAAAAATTGATGGTTACTTATGATGAATTATTAGAAGTATGATTTTTCGTCAGCAAATAAAATAGGAAACTTTTATGTTTTGCCGTAAAAGAAACCAGTCATGCACGTTATGAAGCGTGTCGGAGGAAATGTACAAAAAAGTCCTATCCTGAAACAAGTGCAGGGAAAAATCAACTTTTCTTCCCCTAAATGAATTATTGATGACCTTATCCACCCAAAAGAAAAGGCCTCTCAACGTTAACCGCTAGCTGATTCCACTACCCTAGAAGACAAATACTTGACATGTCAGGTCACTTTGAAATACAGGGCACAACCCAGGCAAACTATAACAGGAAGTAATGCTTATTCAATCATGACTGATGAAATGAAAATTGCTGCGTTCCATGAAAAGTATGTAAATGCAAAAGCTACTATATGCAATTGATTACTTTGTGTATTAAATTTTGCAAAGGGTAAAACTACCAGATATCAGAAAAAGAATTAAATAATTGCAGATTCCATTATCGCTTAATCTTCATTTACTCTTTTTCTCAAATGTTCAAGCTTAGGGAGTTGATGAGATCAAACAGAAAAGGTACTCAGTGAAGCGAAGTAATATTTAGTTCAAAGGAGCGGGAGAGCAGATGAATTACATTTCATACTATGCAAGATATGCCTCCTTCCCTAGTAATATATATGGGTATCAAATGCAAGGAGTCATCTTTGGACAGAAAGAAAATTGAATGAAGCAACTTTCCACATTTTTTTAAAGGCTAAATCAGAAATATAGCAACTTCTCATATAACTTTTGCTCTCTTTCACCGGGTATTCTCAGCATTTGGGCAGTAATACATCTTTGAAATTGGTGAGTCCACTGCCCAAATGCAAGTAAAAGGCCCAATCAAGTATTAGAAGCCCTATGCAGGTGTAATCGGACTATACATGCTTAAATGGGAGATGGCAACCTGCCATGCTAAAGTAACGAGATATTATTCAATCTCTAAGTTATTACATCGAGATCCCTATGCAAACTTGCATGTTTCTTTCTTTAATTTATGCCAAACTTTTGTACTTGAGAGTAAAGAAATATAAACCTTGAGTTTCAGTCATTTAATTTGGGACCTAATTTCCTGTAATCATGTTCAGTGTTACATGACAATGATGCCAGCCCTGTTCCAAACAACTCTCTTCTAATTTTCACCTCGGCACACCCTTTGCAAACTTATATCCTCCATAATGATTCTCATTCTAAAAGTTAAATTTTTATTATCAAGATCCTGACGTCAAAATGGACAAAAATCACGGAAAGGAGACACAGATTCAAATGCCAATATTCTCATACGAAGCAAACCCAGCCCGTAAAAACTGCAGTTTTCATCCATCCTCGATAGCAGCACATCTTTAGCAACAACTTTCTGTATAAATCTTAATTTGATAAATTGGAACTAATCATGGATGTCAATTTAACAAAGAAATAGCAAAAAGAATTACCAAAACATGAGCTTTACATTAACCCTTCTAAGTTTCTGAAGATCAATCTCTTTGAGTTCGGACCATATCATCTGCACCGTCAATGGAAATATCGTCACTAAACTAATGAAAGGAGCCTGCAAATGCACCAGCTTGGTAAAGGTCAGTCATGCAAGAGATTGAACTGTATTCACAAATCTTTAGACAAAATACAAGAATAGACATCAAAGGGAAAAATATTCGGACAAATTGTGCCCGTTAAAGAAAGACTGCTACACAGGGAACAAGTCAATCAGTTAATTAAACTGCTGAGACTACAATAATGGAGAAAACATATTAATGATGTTAGCTCAGATGGAAATATTCACAGTATTACACAACACACATGACAACAAAAAGTCTTCCCCAGCTGTAGACAACAAATTTTGGAGGGGTTATACAAACATCAGGATCAACCAAGAAAAGGTATCCACTGGATGAAAATATCACAGCAATGCGGATAAGATGGATCTGCGTTCATAAAAGATTGATAAGTTTATAAATCATCACATCCTATAAAAGGCGAAAATAGCAAGCATAAAGTATAGTATGAGAGGAGGTCACATGAGATGGTATGGCCATGTCCTACAGGAATTATACGCTCGTAGGTGTAACAATTTGATGATTAAAGGTGATAAAAAAGGACGAGTTAGACCTTAAATCATTGACAGGAGTTATCTCAAGAGAGTTACAATCTTTTCCGACAATACCTACTTAACTAGGAATAGAGCATAATGGAAGCAACGAATCTATATATGCTATACCACTAGTTGGATTAAGGTTTAATTGTTGTTTTTGCACTTACATTAGATCCAATGTTTGCCCGGAGTCTTTTTATTCTAGTCAAAAACTTGTAATTTACGCGCAGGGTTAAGTGTACGATTTAGAGAATATCTAGTTGTAGAGAACCTGTAATCTGTCTTAAAAGACAAAGTGTTTCAAATGGATCTGAATAGATCAATATGGAAGGAATTCATATAACTGAACTCAACAAATTTGGAATTGAGGAATAGCGATATGAATGATTGACAAAATGCCTTATTTTGAAAGAAAAATGACATTCCATTATCGATAAGTAAAAGATCATCCTATATTTGTCATGATAAAATTTGATGCAATTCACACAGTAAAGACAAAAAAGCTATATGAATTCATTCAGACAAGCAGCAATGCAAAATAAATACACCAGCTCCTCTACAAAACGACCCATCAACTTATCCATGATCCTTTCAACATGTTTTTCTCGCATCATCCTCTTTGATACCATTGTCAACACCTTGTCATTCAATAAATAGCCAAGAAATGCCAAGAGAAACAACTCTGGCATTTGATTAACAGCGATAAATAGAGATCTGACTATAGGATAACTTAAACATATTCAAAAAATGGCAGATTATCATAAAATTCATATCAGACCAGCATTTGCATTTCAAGTATGAACAGCATTTAGGAAGACTGTATCACACATCAGAACCCAGCCAAAGAAAATTAGTACAGACAACCATGAACAAATATTTTGTAAGCTCTAGATCGACAGATTGACAGAGAAAGAGAAATAGAATGCAAAATCAACCAAAGTTAGCTATTGTATGCAACATTAATAACAGCAGTAATACATAAAAACCAACTCACAGCTCCCAAAGGTAATTGGATGCATCATGGTTTCCTCCAATGAATATAGTTGGAAAGGGTGCAACCTCCTCTTCAGAATAATACTTCCAGAAAGAATTCATGCTCCAGTATTAGGTGGCACATTTAAACTTTCCAGATCCCTCTCAGTCCTAACAGTCTACTTAAGACAAGGGAAATGCCTCAATTGATATTAATATAGTAGAGGAATTAGAAGTTTAGATGCGTGGTTGTTATTGCGATGGAACCAAGAAAAACTAAATAGATAAAAATTGCCAAACATCAAAACGAATTAACCAGTTAAGTATAAGACAATTACTGAGCAGTACATGTGACCAAGATGCCAAAGCACAAATTTCCTAGTGAACTCATTGACAAAATCATTTACAGAGAATCAAATGTTGTACCTAGAATTTAAAAAATTAACAAGGAAATAGAATGATTTCTACCTAAAAATCGCCTCAGCGTTTAAGCAGATCAATCTTTTTTTTCGATCAGTAAAAGATATTATTGTTGATTGCCAGCATTAAGAAAATGCTGAGCAGTATGTTCAGCTAGCAATAATTACACATTTTGTGATTTGTTCAAAAAATCAACCATAGCTTCTACAAAAGCAGATCAATCTTTAAATTCGCAACTTTTTGTAAATGGAGTTGGCTAGCATAGACATTATAATTCTCCATCCATACACCCCTCTTTCGCAAACCTCCTCAGCATGTAATACCAAAAAGAATCATTTAACACTATTGATCAACTAAAACTCCATATTCATGAATTCTGATGGAGAAACAAAAGGTAGTGATTTCGTCCCCTAGTATTATCACTATTATTTCGGTAATCCTCATTTCTTATATTTCCCATCAAATAGGTGACAAAACAAAGCAACTTGGCTAAAATTGTATTCCAGATTTTAGCTTATTATAAATTGAAAAGCTCAAAATTTTAATTCAATTGTTTGATCCTAAAGCTATTTCAGTAACAGATGACAACAACAAGAACTACTACATCTCTATCCCAAACTAGCTGGGGTCGGGTATGTTAATACTCGATATCCTTTCCGCTTCATACATCCTGTTTCGTTCCATTACTCAATAATTTGTCAATTAACGGATTAGGGGCTTTTCTAACAGCAAAGTACACCTCACGCGTTTCCTTACACTGACATACAAATCTCTGAAAAATTAAGAAGATTCCTAGCAAGTATTATTTCGATTGGCTGTCAACAGCTACACGAACTAATTTAATTGTGTCAACACAACTAAACCTTTTATGCCACTTTGATGTTGCTAGTTTGATATGTGCATGACAAAGAAAACTATTTTACGGCTGTAGCTCTTCAGTTTGAGAACATAAAGTTGAGTTGTTCCTTTTACAATCGTAACCCATCACATAATGCTCGGTTTTCAGCAGCATATACACTCAAAAGTAAAAACTTTAGGAATTAATTTCCATTACAAATTTGGGTACAAAACTGAAACTATTATTACACATTCTCGTAAAAGTTAATCTACAGCTCAACGTAAATATCAAATCAACGTAGTATCATCGCAAGTAAAGATAAACCCTAAGAGAGAGAAATTGCTCCTTACGACGGCGCTAGTCGACTTCTCACTTCTGCTAGTAGTTCCGCTATGTCACTGGGCAGAGGAAATTGATGTGTGCGGCGGAATGGAGTCGTCGACGAGTGGTCCGGCGGTGAACGGGCACGTTTGGACCTGAGATTTCTCACACCGTTTCTGTTGGGATTAGGATTTTTACATTTTGTTTAAATTAGCTTAAAATGGTTAAACCTCTTGTTTTAATAAAATATGACTACTTTTTGCTTTAGGTATGAATATGATGAATAATTATCATGGATTAGTTTTATAGTCGAGCATAATCATGAATTGTCACTTGATTAGAGTCTTAGGAAGTTCAACATTTCGATGACGTGAAGGTATTTGGTTTGTATATGTGAAATACTACTTCCATCCCAGAGGACATCATAAATGAAAAGTAGCGTACATATGGAGTTTGGACAACTTGTAACAATAGCAAATTAGAGGATCCAAACTTTTGATGTCATTTACATTGATAGATTTCTGTTGTCTTCATTTAAACTTTTTAACTTTATACAATGTAAGGATAGGGAAAGCAATTACACAAACTGACATCTTCTGTGCAAATTGCTATACGATGAGAGTATACTTGGGTAAAAATTGGTGGCTCAATGTGATGACATCATGTCACATAGGCGCCATTTGGCATATATTAATACTATGCGGAAGCTTACATAGGAGGAAGCCTAACATTTGTGAGAAGATTCTAGAAAAGTATGGACATGTCCTTTGGAAGACCCTAGGTCTCTATACGTTAGGAAAGTCCTTGGAATCTTCTAGGCTTGTAGAGATTCTAGAGAAAGCCCTTATCTTGTAAATATTAAGGACTTGTGTAACAATTAATATTTACACACAAACCCCTAGGAGACTAGTATATAAAGGGGGTCATTCATTTGTAATTCACCAAGCAAACAGTTCAAGTTATCTCTAATACAAAGCTTCCTTTAACAATTCTCTTGTGTTCTTTCTGCCATACTCTTAGCGATCTTGAGTAAGGCTGACTTGGCATAGCAAGAACGTGAGCAAGTTGTGCAAGATCGTGAGCGAGTTGTAAAAGGGGATGAGCCAAAGATAACATGTTTGACGAGATATGGAGCCTTTGAGTGGTTGGTGATGCCTTTCGGCTTAACTAATGCACCAGCCACATCTTGCACCCATATGAACAAGATTTTTCATCCCTACCTTGATCAGTTCATGGTAGTCTACCTAGACGACATAGTCATCTACAGCAACACCTTGGAGGAACACATGGAGCACTTAAGGAAGGTTTTCCAAGTCTTGCGAGAGAACGAGCTATACATCAAGAGGGAGAAATGCGAGTTTGCACAATCAAAGGTGCACTTCTTGGGCCATGTCATTAGCAATGGCAAGCTACGTATGGACGAGGCTATGGTACGTGCTATCCAGGAGTGGGAGGCACCTATAAAGGTAACTGAGTTGAGATCCTTCCTTGGTCTTGTTAACTACTATCATCGGTTCATTAGTGGCTACTCAGTTAAGTCTGCACCATTGACTGAGTTTCTAAAGAAGAACAAGCCATGGGTTTGGACGGAGCATTGTTAAAAGGCATTTAAAGGCCTTAAGGCAAATGTAATAGAGGAGCCAGTCTTGGCGTTACCTAACTTTGCCAAGACATTTGAGGCGTACACATATACCTCAGACTTTTCCATTTGGAGGTGTCTTGATGCAGGATGAGCATCCCATAGCGTTTGAGAGCCGCAAGTTAAATGAGACGGAGCGGCGTTACACGGTGCAAAAGAAGGAGATGACTGCCATTGTACATTGCCTTCATACATGGCAACATTATTTGCTAGGGTCGAGGTTCGTGGTCAAGACTTACAATTTGTCTACTAGCTATTTTTCAGACGCAGAAGAAGCTCACACCAAAACAGGCTAGGTAGCACGATTTCTTGGCCGAGTTTGATTATGTTCTGGAGTACTAGCTGGGCAAAGGTAACATTGTAGCTGATGCCTTGAGCCGGAAAGTCGAGCTTGCTGCCATCACTTCAGCAAGTTGGGACATTCATGAGGCTATAAAGAAGGCATGCAATATGATCCAGCAGCCAAACAGCTTATCGAGTTAGCCAACCAGGGCAAAACAAGACGTTTGTTGGAAGACGACCTATTGATTACCACGGGTCGGCGGGTCTACATGCCTAAGTTTGGAGACATTAGACGGCGGATCATAAGGGAGAGTCATGACACAATGTGGGCTGGTCATCCAGGCCAGCGTCGCACCAGGGCCTTGGTTGAGTCAGTCTACTATTGGCCACACATACGAGATGATATAGAATGTTATGTGCAGACTTGTCTTGTATGTCAGCAGGACAAGGTTGAGCAACAACTGCCCAGAGGACTTTTAGAGTCACTACCAGTTGTAGAGCGTCAATGGGAGAGCATGACTATGGACTTTATCACTTGCCTACCAAAGTCCGACGTTTATGGTACTATTATGGTGATCGTGGATAGATTTTTCAAATATGCCACCTTCATGCCCACCTCACCAGGTTGCACAGCCAAGGAAGCCACCAAGCTATTATTTAAGAACGTGGTGAAGTATTGGGTCTTACCAAGGATTATCAGTGATCGAGACCCCGCTTCACTGGGAACTTTTGGAGAGAGTTGTTCGACATACTTGGCACGGAGCTGCACTTTTTCACTAGTTTCCACCCACAGACGGATGGACAAACGGAACGAGTCAATGCCTTACTAGAATGCTACTTGAGGCATTATGTAAGCGCACATCAGAAAGATTGGGCGAGGCTCCTAGACATCGCCCAATTCTCTTATAACTTGCAGCGGAGTGAGTCCACGGGCGTACACCAATTGAGCAAGCCACAGGCCAACAACCACAACTCCACATTCATTACCAGTCGCGTTTGAGGGAAAGAGTTTGGGGGCTTATCATATGGCCAAACGATGGGAGGAGCAGCTTGACACTGCTAAGTTCTACTTGGATAAGACAGCTAAGAAGATGAAGAAGTTTGCGGACCGTAAGCGGCATCCCACAGACTATAGAGTTGGGGATATGGTCATGGTGAAGTTTAACCCAAGACAGTTCAAGGCACTACGGGGCATGCATCAGAATCTGATTCGCAAGTATGAGAGGCCATTTAAGGTCGTTTCCAAGGTAGGCAAGATCTCATACAAGCTTGACATGCCATCGTATCTTAAGATCTACCCTGTCTTCCATTCCAGCATGCTTAAGCCATATCATGAAGATAAGGATGATCCGAGTAGGGGCCAATCAAGTCGAGTGCCTATTACTATCACCGCCTCGCATGATCGGGAGATTGAGACTATCATGGATTACCATGCCAGGCGAAAACAAGGGCAGAAAGCCACCGCTACGTTCCTCGTCCATTGGAATGGGCAATCACCGGAGGAGGCCACGTGGGACCGATATGAAGACTTATGGCAATTCAAAGATAAGATCCGATATTTTATGCAATAGCCTTGTGCCGCGGTCGTTGCAACATTAGGTGGGGGAGAGTGTGATGACCCGCCATGTCATCATGCTACATAGGCTCCATTTGGCATATATTAATGCCATGTGGAAGCTTACATAGGAGAAAGGCTAGCATTTGTGAGAAGATTCTAGAGAAGTATGGACATTTCCTTTGGAAGACCCTAGATCTATGAATTTGCTAGGAAAGTCCTTGGAATCTTCTAAGCTTGTAGAGATTCTAGAGAAAGCCCTTATCTTGTAAATATTAAGGACTTGTGTAACAATTAATATTTATACACTAGCCCCTAGGAGTCTAGTATATGAAGAGGGCCATTCATTTGTAAATTCACCAAGCAAACAATTCAAGTTCTCTCTAATACAAAGCTTCCTTTAACAATTCTCTTGTGTTCTTTCTACCATTCTCTTAGCGATCTTGAGTAAGGCTGACTTGGCATAGCAAGAACGTGAGCAAGTTGTGCAAGATCGTGAGCGAGTTGTCAAGTGCCGCACGTGTACTTAGTTAACGACTAAGGACGTGACATCAAGCATATATGTGGCCTAAAATCAAAGTTTAATATGAGGCCTAAACTTTTAAAATAACGTCGAACATTTGAACTAAAGAAATCTTGAAAAAAGAAGGTGAGTAACGAAATTTTGGATCGTAGAAAGAAGGCGAATAAGAATATCAAAGAGAAAGACAGAAAAAATGTAAGGATTTCTAAAATATGAAGAGATTAGGAAAAAGAAAAATTAACTTACAAATGAAAGAAGAAAAATAATCTTTTGCGTGTTATCTAATAAAAAAAGTAAAAAATTAAATTATCAAATCAACTTAAATTGAAACGAAAATAATTCTTCTACCCATTTTTTAGTAAGTCAAATGGTTATTTTTTTTATATATATCTAAAAAGTATTATTTTCTTTATATGAAAATTTTTATTTTTTTATATTAAATGTATTAAATATTATTATTTTTTAAATACCTATAAACCTATTATTTCTTATAAAAATATGGCTCCCACATTTTGTGGGAGTCAAAGGAACAAATCTTACTTGTGACAACAGTAGAGCCGACCATGATTCGTGTAAGGAAAAATTCTTTGGAATCATGTTGCGTGGATTGCAAATAATTGGCCCTAAATTCATGTTGTTTTCTTGCATTTGGAAATTTTACCGAAAAGCTAAATACCTGGAGAGACCTTAAACTTGGGACATTTAATTAGATTATCATTCAGATTTAGCTAGTGATCATATAGACGCTTGAACTTGGCAGAAGTATATCTCGTGAATATCTCAAATTGAAGTGTTTGTTTGCTTACTGATAAGTGTAAGTGGTTATCTTACAAAATGTATCGAATTTAAAGGGCTATCTAGGTATTTAGTCGTACCAAAATATTTCAAAACTTTTGACTAATACATTTTGTTGATTAATTTTACTAAAGTTTTCAGTCTCTTACAGATATGCTTTGAAGAAAAAAAAAAGCGAGATGCTTGAGAAGTATGACTTGCAAAATATGTAATGGGTTTGTGCAAGTATATTTTGCACTTAAATATATTATTTGTCAATTAATTTATGTGTAAGACTTACAAAACTTTTAAAGCTTAACTTGTGATGACTATGGCAATTCAAAGATAAGATCCGAGATTTTATGAACCAGTCTTGTGTCGCGGTCGTCGCAACATTAGGTGGAGGAGAGTGTGATGACCCGCCATGTCATCATGCTACATAGGCGCCATTTGGCATATATTAATGCCATGTGGAAGCTTACATAGGAGGAAGGCTAGCATTTGTGAGAAGACTCTAAAGAAGTATGGACATTTCCTTTGGAAGACCCTAGATCTATGCATTTTCTAGGAAAGTCATTGGAATCTTCTAAGCTTGTAGAG